CAGGAGCTGGGGACCCGGTCCCGTCCCCCCACCCTACCCACCCCCGGCCTGAGCCCGCCTGGCCGCACACTGCTTGCGCCCTGGCGCGTGGCCGCTGGCCGCTGGCCCGGCCTGTTCCCGAGCGCGTAGATCGCGGCTGAGTTCCCGTAAGTCACGCTGGACTAGGGGTCGACCGGAGAGCCAGGCCGGGAACAGAGCCCAGAGCCCTGGGGTGGGGCGGGGTGCAGCTGTTACATCCGCGCAGTGGGTGCTTCCGGCTCTCCACGGCCACAGAGTAAAACAGCACTGTTTTTGGAATTGCCCGCCTCGTGCGTCCGCGGAGTAACCCTGGAAGTCGGCCTGAGCGGCCCCTGCGGTAGCCAAGGTCCCAGCCTTGGGGCCCTCCCTGGGAGAGGAAGCCGGACCTGGGCTGGGGTCCCTGCAGCCTCCGCTCCCCACCCCTGCGCCATGGACGATCTTCGATTTTCCTCCTCAAGAGTCAGAACCGATGCTACTGCCCACGAATAACAAGAAACCGAGGCTCCCAGCTTAACCAGGGTGCACCCTATGTAAAAAACCGAGCTCCGGATCTGATCCCCGTCACTGTAAACAAAAGCTGAAACAAACCAAACCACATGGTCACACCAAAACCCAGTCAGCCAGACCAGAACCTCGAAAAAAAAGCTGAGGCGTGTGTTTGTGACAGCGGTACCGACTGCGGTGTGACAGGTCCCGGTGGGACGCAGCTTGCTACGAGGCCTGGCATATTTCTCTCCCCTGGCACCTGCCCTCTCAGGGCTGCCAGAAAAACTACAGGAAGGCTGGTGAGTTCTGGAATTCAGAAACACAACAGCAGAAATGTGTAGCATATTTCAAGTTTGCATGGGCTGCCGGGCATGGTGGCGCACACCTGTGATCCCAGCACTCCAGAGGCTGAGGCAGGAGGATCACTGCAAATTCGAGGCCAGCCTGGGCTACATAGTGAGTTCAAGATCAATCTGAACTACTCATAGTGAGACCCTATCTCAAAAGTAAAATAAAATAAAATAAAGATTGCAGGGACTGTAGGCTGTACTAAGAATGTGTTGTCATGCATCTGAAATGGAAATGTAACTGGGAATTTAGTATTTTATTCCGACAGCCCTGCCAGGAGGAGGTCTCTAGCGTCCACAGGGATTCACACAGATGTCTGGGCTCCTTTGGGCAAGGCAGGTGTGGCCTCCAGCCGGGATGGGCGCGTTCAGGAAGTGCTGCAGCTGTCATCCGATCGGCTCCCCTAAGTCCCTGACTGAGGACAGAGAGAGGAGAACATCCGCTCGCTCGGGAACCCTCAGCCCAGGGGAAGTCCTGTAATCTCGGAGCCCTGTGTGAACAGCTGCGGACCCGAACACCGGTTCTCCAACCCCAGGGCTTGAGCTGGAGGCTCAGGGTGCCAGAAGTGGTGGATTCTGGGAAGTGGCCTCCCAGCGAAGAGCAGGTGGTAGATAGCAGCCCGACCACGCGCTGCGCTTACTGCAGCCTCTCCTTGCGTCTCCTGATGCCAGGGAAGTGGGCGCCAATACTAATCCCACACTAATCCCATCTCAGTGAGTAAAGAGGGACAACAAGCTGCAGAGTGAGGACCTGATCCACCCTGCAACGTGGCGAGTGGGGACAGAGCCCGCCTGTGGACCGAGGCTGGCCCGTTGGCCTTGGCGTGGCTCCTGGACCCTTGGAAGCCTCGCGCACACACTAGAGCCCATCCTGGCCCTGTGGCAGGGCTGGGCCAGGGTTTCAGGGAGAACAAGGCCTGGCAGGCGGTGTCCCAGCCTGGGGTCCCCTTCCTTTGGCACTGAGGTCTTTCTGCTCTGGACAGTCACCGGGCTCTGTCCTGTGGGGGCTTCCTTTCCCGAAGGGAGCCAGAACTGGCCCAGTCTGGTGCTGGCGGAATCCCCCACAAGGGTATGCACACATCCGGTCGGTGTAGGTTGGAACCCAGCCTTCCTGGCATGGGCAGATCTAAGGCTGCTCTCGGCCTGGGACCACCTTTCCTGGGGCAGGTGGAGAGGATGAGGCAGTGGGGACCCTCCTCCCCCTTGCCAAGGGGTGCCTGGCTTCTCTCCCTGGGGGTCCCTGGTGGCAGATGAGATTCAGATCCTCACTAAAGCGCCACCAGACCCCACATTTGATCAGGCTTTCCTCCCTGGAGGCACAAGCTTTGGCCCAGTTCTCTTTCTTGAGGTGCTGGGGGTGGAACCCACGACCTCACTTCTGCTAGGTAGTCACCCCACCGCTGCGCTTCAGTCCCTGCCTTGTGGCTGAAGGTTCTCTCACACTGCACACCCCTGTAATTCTTCCTCCTAAGAAGAGTTATCCACAGCTCGGAAACAGGGCAGGGAAGTCAGGGCCACTTGGTTTCCTGAACAGAGGGCATCATTTGGCCTGCAGTGGAGAGAGGACCCATGCGTCCCCAGAGGACGCCTTGGCACTGGGCTTGGCTGTCCCCCTGGAGCCCGAGAGACACCACTCTGGAGACCGAGTGTCCCCGCGCTTGTGCTGACCTGGATCAGGGCCCAGCAGCTGCGGCCCACTGGGAGTCCCTTTGCACCCTCAGCTCCAAGCCCCGGCCTCGCCTTCCCTTCGTGCTCAGTGGCATGAGCAGGTGGCTGGGGACAGGAGGTGAAGACGAGGATCAGATTCCAGTCAGTCTGGACGCCGGGGCTCCCCTCCCAGACTCCCGGGGGCTCTGCAGAGTGGAGAGGAACAGCTGGCAGCTCCTGCAGACGCCGTCCGCATCGGTTCCTTCATTTCTCCGGGTCATCGTCGTGATAGTTAACCGACTGCGTCAACCTGAGGAAGAAAGCTGACTAACCCGGGTGCACCACGCTCTGCGTGTGGCTGAGGGAGTCACTGCAGGTGAGGGCTCCCGGGGCAGGCTGCTGCGGCCCTGGAGTAACGGAAGGAAGCAGGACAGCTGCTGCTGGTTCTTCGGAGGGGCTGCAGTCCGCACCTCCACCTTGGACGACGTCTCCTGGCTTCCGTCGCAGACCCTTCGGCCCACGCGGACTCGCACGGACACTGCAGTGCGCTCCAGGCCTTTGACTGGATCCTTCGGTGTCCGGCGCACAGACAGCCCTGCTGGGCTCTTCCACCCCCGCGGCCATCGCAGCCGATCTTGTAAATTCTTCCGTGTTTGTACATCTAGTAAATCTGCGTCTCCAGGAAGCTCCGACAGATGCAACAATCTTAAATTGTTCTTGCCCAGCTACCACAGCACTGTGCACGTGCTCTCTAAGACGTCTCAAGCGCTCCTCCTATTTATGAGATTATAAGTTGTGGCACACGACTTCACGTTGGCCTTCCCGCCCTCCCCGCTGCCAGTCAAACCATGAGCAGCTCAGCCGGTGCACACGGGTCAGTGCTGTCCCACACGTCTTCCCTTACTGAGCGCAGTCCCAGTCCTGGGTCTGCGGAAGGCTGGTGCTTATTTATTTATTTTTTTTTGGAGGGAACAGAAGAACTTTATTCATAATAACCAAAAATTAGGAACAACCCGAATGCCCATCAACAGGGGAGAATTAAACAAACCATTGTACGTCTGTGTAACAGAATTCTGTCCAGCAATACAGAGTGTGTGCTGTTGGCATGTGTCACACCCCAAAAGCGCAATGCTAGCCGGGCGTGGTGGCGCCTGCCTGTTATCCCAGCGCTCTTGAGGCTGAGGCAGGAGGATTGCTGTGAGCTCGAGGTCAGCCTGCGCTATACAGCGAGACCCGTCTCAACAACCCTTCCCCGAAATATAACCCCAGGGGCTGGGGATATAGTTCAGAGGCACAAGCGCCTGCCTGCAAGGTCCTGAGTTCGAGTCCTCACTCTATCTACCTATCTATCTATCTATCTCACCCAAGATATTCCACAGTTGCTTTGGTCCGCTGTTGACGGGCACTTAGGCTTCCAGTTCCAAACCCTCTGTGCTCTGCGGCCGGGAATGCTCTGTATGCATTAGGCCCCTGGGCGTCCACCTAGGCGAGCAGCTTTAACTTTTCTACCCGCTTCCAAAGTGGCGTCACCAGTCTGCCTCTCTTTGGCATTTAAAACAATCAGTCTGTGTCTGAAATCCATGACGAGGAGCCGGGGATTTAGCTCAGTGGCACAGTGCCTGCCTGGCAAGTGCAAGGTTGTGAGTTCGATTCTCGGTACTGGAAAAACAAAACAAAACAATAAATAAATAAATAAATAAATAATGAAATCCACGACGAGTGCATCCATCGTGGGGCGCTGGCGCCCGCGGGTCCAGCCGCACGCTCTTACGCCCAACCCCTCCCGCGTGTCCATCCCGACCCCCTTCCCTTCTCCACAAAGCCCGCCGCCCTGCGTCCCCTCACCCCTCTTTTACTGCGCACTTTGGGTTATTTTGCATTTGGGGATTCTCGTAAGAGAGGCACTGGCAGTATTTAACCTCTGCCCCCCGTGTCCCGCGGACGTGCTGTGCAGGACGGTGGCGGCCCCTCGGCTGTGTC